AGGATTAAGACAAAATATGTGTGCAAGGCCCCAGCAGAGGACAGGACACATAGTAGGTGCACAGGAAATGTCTGCTGGATCTGGATGTAAGTTTCACTCCATCAGTGCTCACATAGTAGGTGCACAGGAAATGTCTGCTGGATCTGGATGTAAGTTTCACTCCATCAGTGCTACGGAAACACTGGTCTGGAGGACAGGAGAGGAGCCCGGACACCTGCTTCCTGTCTTTATGAGCTGGGGTTTCCTGCTGCGGCACCTCAGAGCAGCTCTTAGGCTCCTGGCCTGGGGCTCTCCTAGTATCTTAAGACTACAGTTTCGGGTCCACGAAACAGGGATTATTGAAATGTCCACAGAGTGGGCCCCGCTGGGTTAGACCTTACAGCAGTGGGTCCCCAAGAGGCAGGATTAGTAGATCCCAGATTTAGCTGGAAACACGTTTCCCCTGCTACGTGCACGCACACACACACGAACCTACACACCAGACAGGATGTGAGCCCCGAGGGGCTGGGGACATGCTCAGCTCTCCTTCCGTGTGCATCTGACTTGCCCCAGGACACCGGGCCTAGTGAAGGATGGCCAGTGAGGGGTCTGTTACTATGAGCCCAAACCAAACAACAGTGTGAAATGCTTTGGTTTGGTCACTTCGCGTCCCATCTAACTAAAGTCGGCTAGCGCAGCTTCCTGACTTAGTAAGTAGAATACACTCAACAGAACCATCATGTCCTTCGCTGACTCAAGACCGAGCAGGGTCTCAGTGTTTGAAAACATCTATTCTCATCCAGCCGGAGCCTACATGGGTCAGGGTGTCATGTCACAGCAGAGAAGGATGGATTCTTTAAACACACGGAGCTTGCATATTCCAAATACAGGACCATGCTTCTCGTTCACAAACAAGTTGGTTCTACCCTGTTTTTCTTGGGGACACTCAGTCTTCATTGCCTTACTTTGTTTTTCCCACTTTTAAGACAGATGTGAGTTCAGGTAATATTTTTGCTAGTCTTTTCATGAGTAAAGGGAGAAAAGAAAGCAACTCGATTGAAGCCCACATGATTCCACCAATAGAAGACTAACAGCCTGTATTTACCCAGCACTTTCTGTGTGTCAGGCACTATGCTAAAGCCCTTGATATACAATATTTCATTGACGCTTCCTAGTAAATGGGTACTAAACATTGTGTCACTTTCTCAGGCGGACAAACAAACCGAGATGCAGAAAGCCATGCACCTCTCTCTTAGAAACTTCTGACTTGGGCACTCCTGCCCCTTTGAGGAGGCTCCTGAGTTTGCTCATCCTTCCTGGGACGGGAGAAGTAGTGGTTTTGGAGCTACAGATGGAGTGGCAGATGGGAAGTGAAAGCCTATCAGAGTTGCCCAGGATAAAACCATTCATCTGCAAAATTCATATGTTTTTGCGTGGGGCGACTTCCCAGAAACAAAAGCAAGAGGAACCAGCAGTGCTTGATGCATAAAGTGCCTCTGGCCATGAGGCTGGCAAAGTGAAATGGGCAGAAGAACCGGGGGGTGGGGGAGGGCCATGGAAATGAAAGCAGTGGGGGCAGAGGGAGGGAAAGACAGAATGAGGCACACAGAGACCGGGAGCATTAAAGCTAAAAAAGCCAGAAATTCCAGGACTCTCTTCTCTGAAACCCAAAATAGGTTTGGCACGTGGTCCAGGAAAGGGTTCCTGGGCCCCCTCGGACAGAGAGGAGCTTCAGCCTTGAATGCAGCTCAGGAACGAACCACTGACATTTATTTGGGTAAGTAAGCACTTCGTAGGTGCCCAACACTCTGCTAGGTTCTATGATCATAGCCCAGTTTCACAAAGACTGAATTTCCTTGCAGATGGTCATATGGCTAGTGAAGTGGCAGAACTCAGACTCGAACCCTAAGCCATCTGCTGGGCCTCTCATCACCCACCCTCCCCAGATGCCCAAGTGCTAAATATCCCTATATCCTGGCCCAGCTGAGCTGGTGGAGTCCATGGTCGCGGCAAATCAACACAGGGCCCCTAGGGGGCAGCCTCGAGGCTTGGTGGGGGTCTCCTGGGGAGGGCCATGGGCACAGGAATGCCCACCTGACCTCAAGAGGTCTCTGGCCAAGTGCCACCCCTTGACCTGGGCTGAGGTGACCTCTGGGGTCTCCACTGGAGGTCTAGAGGAGGACTGAGCAGACGCGGGGCCACAGGTGACCTTCCTACCTCCAAGGACCTTCCCTCATGACATTCCCTGTTGCCAAGTGGTTTCACTTATAGCCGTCTTGCCACTCTAGGCCTGGCTGACTTCCCCAAGGAAGGAATGAGCAGAAAGCAGAACACCAGCCTTGGAACAGCACAGAACTGATCCTCATGTTCCCTCTGCCAGGTACTGCTTACATGACCTTGGGTCCCGGGTTGCCCCTCCGGAGAACAGGTTTGCTTTGAGGGTTGAAGGAAGTGTCTCCCTCATGAGCTGTTATGCTCAGCATCTGGGGATGTTTCTGAGCTCAGGCCTTTCTTGGAAGAAAGAGGGAGAACGTCTTAACTCATCCCTGCCTGTGCTTCTCTCTACTCGCCTCTCCTCCTTGCCTCCCTCCATTTTTAAAATTGCTCAAATGCAGCAAGGTCATCTCTGACCCATGTCTTGTCCTGTCCTGACTGTTTTCTCTCTCTCTCAGGAAGTGTTCTCAACTGGGAGCGATTTTGCCCCTTGCGGACACTGGGCAACGTCTGGGGATACCTGTGGTTGTCCCGAGTGGGGGGCCAGCATGACCCAATCCAGTGGACTGAGGCCAGGGGCTGCAGGTAAACGTCCTGCCTTGCACAGGACGGTCCCCACAGCAAAGACTCATCCAGCACAGTATGTCCGGAGTGTCCAGGTGGAGAAATCCTAGTCGCGAACGAGCTCTTTCTCATTTGCCCAACAATCTGTTCCTAGCCTTCAGTTCTCAGGTCCAAACTTGGCACATTCGGAGGCCTTTCTGACCGCCTGACCCCATCCCCCAGCCCCCCCACCCCCTCACTTTCTAGCTCTTTCCCACCTTGCATGGTGCCATTAATTCCATTTTCCCAACTAGGGGACATGCCCCATCAGGTAAGGCTTGGGGCACATGTGCTCACTAAATGCCCAGATAGGGCCTAGCATAAGAGTTGCTTACCACATGTTTGTGGAATGGGTACCTGAACAAGTGAATAAGTAAATAAGTAAAAATCTGCCAGCCATGTTTCATAATCTGCTTACCCTTGCTCTCGTATGAACAAAAGAAAAACAGGTATCTTTCTAACAACCATCACCTTTCTCAGGTTCAAGGGTACCAGGTGGACCCTGCCTAAGCTGACCAAAGACTGTGCCTTCCCCAGGTCCCCTCCAGGGCCCAGGGGCTTCCCAGCAGACAATGAGATGCCACCAAGCCAAGGACGGAAGGAGGGCGCCAGGAATCGCAGTGTGAAGGAGACAGAGACCATTTCTATCTTTAAACAGAGAATGTCTCTCTCTCTGCCTGGATCTTATTTGGTTCCTGATTCAACACTCAAACTCCTGGGGACGTGTGGCCTCAATATTTGATGACATGAAGAATGACAGTATTTTAGGTGTGACAGTCATGCAGCTGTTAGCTTAAAAGGGATGCATACTGCAATTCTTACAGACACAACTCCATGATATCTGGGAAGCGCTTCAGTAGGAAAGAAGGGGAGGGTGTAGGTACATCAGCGCTGGCCACGACCTGATTCCAGCTGAAAACTAGGTGATGTGCACGTGGGGCTTCACTGTACTGTGGTCAGCACTCAGGTGCCTGGTTGAAGACCGCCCTGATTGAAAAACACATGTATATTTTTAAAGACACCTTCATCTGGCTCTCGGGGGAGTGCTGTCCCCACCCCATGCCCCCGGGCCATCAGAGGAAGGCAGGCCCCGCCCTTGGCTCCCCATACTCTTCTTTTTAGCCCCACCAATAAATCAGGATGGAAGACACAGTCAAGCGAAGAGTGGCCTTCTGGCAGCAAATAAAGTTCATTTTCTTGCCTTTTTTTTTTTTTTAACCTCACAAGATCTTTAGAGGGGTTTCCCTTGCCTTTGGCCTATTTTCAAGGCCATAAGCATTAGCGAGCGCAAGCGCTCTCGATCAGTGTTTGTGCCAAGGGACGGACCTTCCTGGTGGCATCTGAGTTTCTCGGTGCCTCAGGGCTGACGGCCACTGGACCAGCTCCACACAGTTGTGGCCGAGGGCCCGCAGGTGTGCCCCGCCCCGGGCAGGGGTTGGAAAGTAGCTCCCAACATTATAGTTTCACGTGAAACCTCCCAATTGTAAAATGTGTGCAAGCCGTTCATTTGTGACAAGTTGATAGCCACCAAACACACACACACACACAAACACACACACACACACACACACACACACACACCCATGGGCCTCAAACAGCCCGAACATGCGTGTCTGTGACTCTGCTGTGGCCATAACGGCTCTCCCTGCCTCCCCTCTGCTCCCCTTTCTGACACTGGAGTCAGACCTAGTCCTGCCTCGAATCAAATATGCCAGGGGCTCCTACATTCTAGAAGCAATACGATCTCACCCCGGGGTTCTCCCTGACCTCCTACTACTCCACCCCTCACCTCCTCTGTTCTAGCCACCCTGAGCCCCCTCGTCCCCCCAGCACAGCAGGTACATGCCCACCTCAGGACCCTGCAGGGGCTGTTCCCTCGGCCTAGACCACTTTCTCGGTTCCAGGGACTTGCTCCTCCTCCTGTTCTTCTCGGGAAGGACTTCCCCAGCCGTTCTTGCTAAAATGACGATTCTCCCTGCTGCTTTGCTCTGCTTCATTTTTGTCCCCCCGCACCCCACGTGAACAGAAGCTCCAGGCGGGTAGGGGTCTTGCCGGTTCTTCGTGTACCCGTGAACGCGGCTGGGAAAACCGTGCGCTCGGGTCCCATGTGGATCCCAGGCTCCGTGGCACCTCACGGAGGCACAATGCCTCTTCAGACCGCTTCACAGCGAGGACTAAGGAAAGCAGGAGGAAGGCTGCCTTACCTGATGGGGTAGTCAGCAGCGCTGAGGTTGATGAAGAAGTCCCAGGGCCAGTCAGTCATCTCTAGGAGGTCCCGCATGCTCTGCAGGTACGTGGACAGGAGGCTGGCTCCCCCCCAGATGGTGGCCATCCTCCAGGGGGTGACGCGAACATTGCCATACTGTCTGGCGAACTGTAGCACTTGCCGATGCAGGTAATTGGAGCGCTTATCCCCGGGGAGAGAAGGAGTGACATTTCAGCAGCAGAACACAGGCGGACGTGCCCCTTGCCCCCTCTCTATCCCCTCCCGTCTAGGTGACATGGCTTCTGAACAGAGCGGACTTCGCCAAGCAACGGGCTCAGGCCTGGGGTGTCTTTCTACATCGCTCTTCAAAATCTTACTATTTTTGAAAATTTACTTTAGCTATTTGAAATGCAGACCCCCAGGCCCCACCTCTGGGCTCACGGCTCACTAGGCGCGGGCTGGTGCCTGGGACTCTGCGTTTTTATACAAGACTGAGGCATGTGGTCTGAGGATGACAAGCTAGGAAGTATGACTGTGTCTAAACCTGGTGAGTATTTTGAGAGGTGGGATTTCTCCACTGCCCTCTCCCCCTCACAGGCCTGCTGTGATCAGGCATCCCCTTTTGACTTCTTGACGAAAGCCACCATCACGTGTGGTCAGCAGACCAACAGAAACCTCTGGGCCAAGACAGCTCAGGGGTCAGGAAGCCTGCTGCAGGGTCTTGTAAATAAAGTTTTATGGGTACACAGACACGCAGACTCATTTCTGTATTTCTCAGGGCTGCTTCCACCCTCCAGTGGCAGAGCTGAGTCGCTGTGGCAGGAGCATATACCTGCAGAGCCTAAAATATTTGCCATTTGGCCCTTTACGAGAAACGTGGGCCCACCCCTGGGATAGTGGGGGCCGGAAGTGCACGGGCCGGTGAAGAAAAGAGGTAAGCAAAACAACATTTATGGAGAAGGTCTAAAGTCACGGCTGGGAACTCTGAAACTAACACATATGCACTTGCACGCCTGCGCGCGCGCGCACACGCGCACATGCACACGCACACGCACGCGCACACACACCCTTAGACGGAATGCTCTGAGGAGCGGCCGCTGATCAGCCTACAAGCCCTGCCTGAAAGGGAGGCCAGCTTGGGGAAGAGCAGACAGACCGGCAGAGAAAGCCAGCAAAGGGCAACCGGCGGGGGGCGGGGAGGGGTCCTCACCTTGTCCACGTGGATGTAGTAGAAGTGGTCTTTGTGATAAATGGCCTTGAACATGCGCTGCAGCTGCCGAGAGGCACGGCCGTGGACCACCAGGACGAAGGCAATTCGGACTGGGTTGGCCAGCATATATTCCACCGAATCCTCATCCCACTGCACGTTCTTGTTGGCTTTGCCTGGGGGAGAACCCAAGAGACCACAGGGGTGCGGTGAGGATCCCAGGCTCTTTGTCGGGGGAGGACGGGGAGTTTCTCTGATGCTTCATCTTGGGGACTACTTGAAGGGCAGAGTTGTCCTATGGGGCCCTGAAACCTAATCCAGCTTAAGCAAGCTTGTCCTGGACCCTTACCCTGTCCTGGTACATGCGTGGGGGGGACTCTGAGGTGCTTATAGGCAGGAGTTCCCACCCCCGAGGAGCTTTAAAAAGCTGACGGAGACCTAAGTACACGTATTAAGCCACTGAACAAGGCAGGAGGAAATGCGAGGTACCTCTGAACCGTAGGGGAAGGAGCAGTTAACTCTGAGCCGGGAAACAGAAGATATATACAAGCCGGTTTTGCCTGCCCTCTCCCTTCTCCTCCAAATAGCATCCTTTTTTGTAAACATTGTGGAAAGAACAGATAAGATGACACCTACCCTCTTAAATTTTTAAGTTCACAGTACAGTATTGTTGATGAGAAGCACGATGTTGTACAGAAGATCTCACTTCTCTGGCATAATGAAAACGTTATCATCCAGTATTTTGGGGGGCATCGTCCCCCTCCTCCATTCTCAGTCTCTATGGATGGGGAGGGTCTCCCTCCATCATCAGTGACAGGGAAGGTCACAGAGCTCAAGGCCTGGTCAATCAGAATGTTGCGTCTCCCTGGCAACAGTCTGTATGGTTCAGACGCGGATGTGTGACCCAACCAAGCTAATTAGCCCAGAAGACAGAATTCTAGACTTTTGTTGGAACAACTCGATTAGAGAGGTTCCCTTTCTGGTATACATGAAACTGGAAGATTCTAAGAGCCCTTTTATCCCCACACAGAGTGTTAAGATCACCTGAGAGGAAAGCAAACAGAGAAGCAGCAATGCCAAGGGACTGGATCCTAATGGTGCCAAGGGATGGGGTCCTAATGGCACCGTGTGAGTTACTCCATCGGCCCAGCTGGAGATCAGCCACCATCATCTTACAGTTTTCTTTGAAAACCAAGTTCCTATATCAGACCCACCTGCATCCCCCTGGTTCCAGATGTCTTTTATCCTAGAAGTAGCCTTAAAGACTCCTTTTCTCCTCCTTCCACTTGCAAACACTCGCAGGGCAGGGTTTCAAGGGGTGGGGGGTACAGAGCTTATTATTGGCTTAGTTCATTACAGTTTTGACCAGAGATCTCCTGCCTCTCTTCAGCCTGATTTCCCTTGGGTCAAACCTGATTTCTTCTGGGTTCTAGGTTTACGAGACCAAGAAAGTTGTCAGGGTTGTAGCTGCAGGTGTCCCAGGATGTCAACTTGGAAAACAGAGACCTGGGAGTGCTTAGTCTGGAGGTCAGGCGATCAGAAGCCTATCGCTGTCACCGGAAAGCTAAACAGCTGCCAAATGAACAAGGCTCCTTCTAGGCCGTTCCAGAGGACAGGATGAAACTAACATGGCTGATGTCTAAATCACATGGCACAGCCTCTGCGGCCTGCATGACCTGCCTCCTGAAGACCTCTGCACCCCGACTGCCCTCCTATCTACCCTGCCACCTGGCCTTCTTTCTTTGGCTTGAGCAAGTTCGTTTCTGCTTCAGGACCTTCTCACTGACTATTCCTGCTACCTAGATCTCTGCATGGCTGTATCCTGTCATCGGTCCACAGCTCAACAAAAGGCCACCTGCCCCCCACAGCCACACCGCTCTCTTCTGCCTCACCTTAGCTTGGTTTTCGGCATAGCATTTAAAACCATCTGAAATTGCGCATCTGTTTGCTTGTTAATTGTTTGAACACCCCACAAACACATCAACTCCAACAGATGAGGGGCTATTTCAGTCTTGTTTGTCATCGAACATACAAGACTGTACCAGTATCTGGCACACATCTGGTTCTTGGTGGAAAAAAAAAAAACTATAGGAGGGGGACATATTGGTTTGGTACCATAATAGTAACAATACATTCTATTGAGCACTGACCAGACCTTGCCATCCATCGTTGCACTCAATCCTCTCATCAGCCCTGCAGGATAGTGCTATTATCCCCATTTTGCTAATTAGGAAAACATAGCTTAGAGAGGCCAAGGGATTTGTTTGTTCAAGGTCACACTGCTTTAATTGGTTCAGCTGTGATTCAAACCCAGGTCTGTTTCCAGAGCCGATGCCCTTAAACACTAATATATACTACGTTACCATACCTAGACTTTGGAAAACTTGATAATAATTCTGTGTAACGAAATACCCTGTAAATTAGCTGATAGGTAGGTAGGCATGCATTCGAGGGCTATCATAGGCACCACAGGGAGGATCCCTGTATCATGTGGGAGGCTGACTCTAGGTGGCCAATAAGATCACATCTTCTCATCCACCCGTCCATCCAAATCCAACCACCTATCCGCTGGAATCCAACCACCCATCCATCCAAATCCGACCACCCATCCATCCAAATCCAACCACCCATCCAGCAAACCATTCAGCTACCCGGCCAGCACAGCATTCAATAGCTTATCATCCAGAAAACCAACCAGCCATGCATCCATCCATCCATCCACTCATCACCTTTAAAACCATCCACCCATCCGCTTACCCATCATCCTCAAAGCAAATCATCCATGCCCCCACTCTTCCAACCATCTATCAACTCATCGATCCACGCAATATTAACTTAGCCTATACTACATGCCAAGTACTGTGCTAGGTACTAGAAAAATAAAATTTGGGGGAAAAAAATCCTTGCCTTTGAGGAGCTCTCAGCCAAATGGAGAAAACAGAAGACAAGGGTCAATTGTTTTAGGACAGAAGTGTGTTCAGTTGCCCCGGGAGGGTGGGGAAGGAGTGAGCAATCTGCCTGCAGGGACAGAGGAGATCTCAGAAAGTTCAGCCCAAAGCTCCTGAACCCATCTCTTCAAGTGCTCGCGCTGGATCCCAGCATCTTAGGCTCCTTGGCTGTTCAATCAGTAGCTGCAATCTGGCGATAATTATCATCTTGGCTCTGACTGAAGACAGACTGGGCAGCCACCAGAGAGGGTTATCCTAACCACCCTCTCCTCTCCTCTTCAAACCAATCACAAATACACTGGGCTTTCTTGGTGATTATATGAGAAGGGCACGCCTAGGGGAATCATGTCCCTTTAAACACTCATGCAACTCTCTATCTATCCATCCATCCTTCCATCCACCCACTCACCCATTCATCCATCCATCCACCCCCCTACCGACCCACTCACCCATCTAGCATCCTTAAAACCTCCCACATGCCAATCCTGGACAAAGCCTGGAGTACACAGACACACAGGATGTGAGCCTGTTTTCACAAGTGGATTACGAATGGACTACAGAATGCGAAAATCTAAAGTAAAAAGATAATAGGTGTAAGAAAAGCTTATATTCTCCTTCCCATGTCTGCAGCCCAAAGGCAGCGTACTGATCTTCACAATGCTGGCTTCGGCCTCTCTTCGCCTCCCTTGGAGACCATCAAACAAAGGGAGGAACGTTTAAAAACAACAGGTACTTAGTGCCACTTTTTTTGCACCTGGACTTCACTGGGTGATTTTTTTTTCAAAGGCCTAAACATGGCCCACAACACTGTATCTTATAGGAAGTTCACTCTGTAGGGGCTCCTGCTGGCCCTCAGATCATACTGCTCATCCCTGCCCAAGGTCTCTGGGTAACAATGATCTGGAGTTCTTAAGTGACTGAGGCTTATGGCGCCTTTGGGATCAGCCCGTGCTTTCTAGCTATGGGTGTCTCCTGCCAGGCTGTTGAATGAATGAATGTAGGAAGGAAGGAAGGAAGGAAGGAATGCATTCTGGCTGCTCTGGCTGACATCAGAGAAGCTGATGTCACTTGAAGGCCTGCTTGCACCAGCACTGTGCCGGATGGCGGGTGTGGAGATGCTATTTGGTTTTGGCAGGGATGCGCTGTCAGGCTCCGAGGCTCAGAGAGGTCCACATGTTTCCCCAGGGTCACACAGTGAGTGAGCACAGAAGCAAGGAGTGGAAGCCCAAATCCATACTTCCACCTGCCCTCCAAGGAATCAGAGAGCAGGGAGATGGGGAAGGTTGGTGTGAAGACTGTAGGCTGGTCTTTAGAGGGACTTGTGCCCTGAGGTGCAAGAAAGCCTTCTGTAACTTTGTTTAAAAAAAAAATTGGGGGCGCCTGGGTGGCTCAGTCGGTTGGGCGGCTGCCTTCGGCTCAGGTCATGATCCTGGGGTCCTGGGATCAAGGCCCACGTCCGGCTCCCTGCTCGGTGGGGAGCCTGCTTCTCCCTCTCCCTCTGCCTGCCACTCTGCCTACTTGTGCTCTCTCTCTCTCTGTCAAATAAATAAATAAAATCTTAAAAAAAAAGATTTAACTTATTTGAGAGAGAGAGAGCATGAGCAGCGGGGTGGGGAGAGGCAGAGGGAGAGGGAGAAGCAGGCTCCCCGCTGAGCAGCGAGCCCCACGTGGGGCTCGATCCCAGGACCCGAGCTGAAGGCAGACGCTTAACTGACCGAGCCACCCAGGCACGCCCTTTTGTAACTTTCTTTAGGGTTTTAGAATGAAGAACAGATTCACAGACAGACACAGACGTGGACGCTTTCCTTCTGAAGAAAAGGAGCTGAGCACCAGGAAATCAGGCACTGTCATTCCGGCAACTGAGCCTGCAGACTGCAAGCCGTCCCTGGGTCAGACAGCTGGTCTGGGGAGTAGCAAGGAGAAGAGAGAACAAAAACCCAGTGTTCTCCTGGAGTATAGCTATTTTGAGGAGAGGGGTGGGTGGGAAAGAACCAAAATACCTGAAGAAAGGAGACTCACACAGAGGGAAAGAGAGGGACAGAGAAATAGAGACAGAGACAGACACAGAGAGGGAATGGGGGTGCAGACAGACAGGCCTTGCTCACACTGAGAGAAAAACAGAGCGAGACCTGCAGGCAGCAGGACCTCCCCCTTACTCCCACCAACGAGAGAGAACCACAGACAGAGACCTACACAGAAACACTGAGAAAGACAGAGACACACACAGG